CACTGACAACACGCCCACACTTTGAAACAGGAAGTTTAATACTGCAGTACTTTAAAACTGGGAGCTGATGATACTTTAGTACTTTTACAGTGATACTTTACAGCAGGAAGTATATTTACTACTAGTAACTATGGAGTACTCTTACCTTCAGGTGAATCTGCCTCTGATATGTACAACACGTCCTCATCTCTGAGAACACACACACACACACACACACACACACACACACACACACACACACACACACACACACAGTGAGTGAAGTGAACAGGAAGCTCACGCGCTGTTCCGGTTCCACTCCCTGACTCTACCTGATCAGGGTGACGTCATCGATGAGGCCGCCGCTGCCGTTGTAAACACCGGAGGCTCGAACCCGCAGCTTGGAGCTGGCCGCGGTCAGGAGCTCCTCCAGGGACCCGAACACCGGAACCACCTGCGACCGGAAACAGCTTCAGTCGCCGCTCCAGCAGCCATGTTGTTATGACGACATGTTTGTTCTCACCTTCCCGTCAGTGGAGCTTCCGTTAACGAACAGCGTGACTCTCCTCATGGTCCCTGGACGTTAACGGGTCTTCTACCGGAGACTCATCGAGACACCTCCTCCTCTTCCTCCTCCTCCTCCTCCTCCTCTTCTTCGGTGGGTTTATGTTTGTCCCACCACAGGAAGCAGCACCCTGCCTCTGATTGGCTGCTCCTCTCAACGTGACCAATCACCAGTCTTCTTCCCTGAATCCCAGCCAATCAGAGGCAGAGGAGGGATAAACACGCCCAGTGCAGCCAAATTAGCCAATCAGCTTTGTGTATTGTCCACGACAGCCAACCGGTCAGGTGAATGGGCGGGGCAACCACGCGATGAAAACTCATCAAGCTAAGAATAATAAATCATTCATTTATAATTCATCGAACTTAAATCAAACACAGATCAGAAGTGTGTAGAGGGACACTGTCTTTTAAAACTCATACATATACTGTAAAATCAAATGATCAATCAAAGGTGATCAAACAATGCAGAACGGGAGGTCGGCGGTTGGTTTTCCAGAGAGATTTATTAGACAAATTATTCTCCAAGACATAAAATATGAGCTCAGTTTAACTCACTCCTGCAAAGACACGGCATCAATCAGCCAGAGATTTTTCATTTGGCAAAAGCAAAGACGATCGATAGTTTCTCGACCTTCTGGTCCAGGAGCTGCTTTATTTACCTCAACTGAAGAATACTCAAACATGAATTACACGTTTACTTTAAAAGAGAAAATCTCTTTTCAAGAACATGGAGAACTCCAGACCGAGAATCAAATTCCAAACAAATGTAAATATATTATTGAATCAGTGTTTTAAATCTCCTTTGTCATCTGGTCTGAACTCTGCTTTAACTGAGCATCAAGAGGAAGTGCAACATGAGACCAATAAATAAACACACTCTGATTAATCTGTGCAATAAAACTATGAAACGCTACGACTGCGTCCCTATAACACCCAAACCTTCATTCTGCAAACACCTGTGATTCAGCAGGTCTGACTTGTGTTAACAGAGCTGTCTCTCAGGTAGAACTGATTCACCTGCACGTGCATCAGCGTTCCAACTAAGTCAGTTACGATAATAAGAGGCACTGAGGGTAAATTGATTGTTTGCAAACAGCAGCACCAACAGTTTTTCTACATTCAGGACATTTAGAGCCAAACTAAGGATTCAAATATCTTGAAAAAGAGAGGAGGCCATTTCTAATTTTTTGTCAAATGAGCCATAAACTGGATTTAGTGTTGGGAACCGTCATCAGACTTTATACTGGACGTCAGTGAATTACGAGACGTCCACTGCCACTGCTGCCAAAACTAGTCTCCTGAGTTCTGCTTTGTCACGATAAAAATACATTTGTTTTTTTATAAAATCCTCTCTGACATAGACTCCAGCTTCTGTATCCAAACAAGTCAAACTACTCGTTTCCACTCTCCTCTGTGTCCTCGCCACCTTCGTTCTGTCCATTTCCGTTTCTCTCGGGGTAGTTGAGGATGTTTCTGTTGGCCTGGACGATGTACTGCTGCTGTTTGAAATACACCTTCAACGCTCCTTTAAGCAACACGAACACGAGGCCCCCCTGTGGGAAAGACAACAGAACGGTGTCTACTACAAATCAATAAAAGAACAAATTGCTCTGGTGACACAATCACACGTGGACAGATTCTTCACATTACAGACTGTAAATAACGATGGACATGTCCAGCTTCCAAAACTGGAGTGAAAATGCATATTTTCATAAAGCACAATTCCCAACCCCCCCCGACCGTCTCCCTGTCTTCACCAGCATCGTTCTCTGCAGATTCGATGACACCCGTCGAAACAGAACCCTCCCCACCAGACTGGCGATGGAGGGAAAGATGAGCGCTCCGCACAGAGTCCTGGACACGGAGAGATGATCTCCTGCACCGGGTCCGTCGTTAGGCAGACGAGGCAGATAACGGTTGTGACCTGGTGTAAAGCAGTTATGAATCAGTTTTTGATTTGATCATGAAATACATCACATACATGATATTATCCAATCACTGTTTTATATTTATTGTAGATGCAATTAAAATCAGGGTTCAAGTTTGAAAACTGAAACTAAAACAATCTTCAGTTATCTTCTTGCTAAATAAACAGTTTACATGAAAATGATTTGTATAATTATAATCATCGTTATTAATATTAGAGTAATTAATACCACTGCATGTCCTCAGGTTGACTGTGCTCGTCCACCACTTTGGTCCAGACACATTAACTATAAAGCAGGACGTCTTTAGTTTCCCACAGCACTTAAACTCAAAACACATCTATGGATCAGTCTGAAAACTTGACCTGTGCTCACTCACAGTTCACAGATAAATAACCTCACTAATGTTTTTAGACCTTTATGTGAACTTGTGGACAGAGCAGTGTGTTTGTGAACACCTCACATTACTCACAGATCAGTTCATCGGTCATGAAACATAAGTTTATCATCAGTTATTGCTTATTTCTCTCCATATTTATCCTCCGACCTTTGTCTTGTTGAGTCTGAAAGTTAATTGAAGGGTCCTGTGTGTGATTCAGGATGTACGTCTGGGTTTATTCACCTGGAGGAAGGTGGCGTTTGTGCCACAGCCGAAGTAAATATTCGTCCCAGCGGATCATCTTTCCCAGGACCAACACCACAGGGATGGTGGGCAGACCCATCAACAGGAAGAGCGGGTCAGCCCGCTCCATCACATACAGCCCCTTCTTATGACCCACAACCTGCGCATGACAACACAAAGAGGTGAGGCTCGTACACTGTGACGTTCTCTGGTTTAATCTTCTGTCTGTGTGAGTCGTGTCAGTGGACCTGCATGACGGTCACAGCTCCGTATGTGACGGCTGACCAGTACACCGTCCCGACAACCACCCCGACAGCTGCGAAGGGACTGACTCGTGACAGAGCTTTGTCCACCTGCTGCAGGAAATACACTAAGGGGCCTGAGGACAGAGAGGAAACCACACAGTCAAGTTATGACCATGTTGTCTTCAGGTGTCACAGAGATCCTCTGTAATGAGCAGAGATCCCAGTTATCACATTGTCCTGCTGCCACTAACGCTCACTGCAAAACCAGTGTGGATTAAAAACTAAAGCGAGCAGCAGTTTTAGGAAACAAATATTGTGACGTTGTTGAAGGTTTTCTATGTTGCAGAGCTGTCACTCACCCATCTTGGGGAAGACAACGTGGTATTCGGTGCCACACTGCGGACAGCTGACTGCTCCTCCACTGTTGCCTCTTTGCTTCTCGTCCAGCCAGCGCTGCAGACACGACTGATGGATCCATTTGGTGCAGCCTTTACACCTGCAGGGACTCACCCACTCCGCACTGTGGTCGTCCCTCTCTGTGGCAAAACACACCCAGCAGTGTCTGGGCGACACACAGATGTGGCACGTTCAGGGATTTAAGAGAACTCGTCACACACACACAAAATGTAAATGCAGCAAAACCACATATCGTCTCTTTAAATCCACACATTCTTTCTTGTCAACACAGAAGACCTACATTACCCACAATTCAATATGATCAACATCAGGTCTTACTTCTCAGGCTGCTCCTCAACAACGGCCATGATGGTTCAGGAACTGACTCTTGTCTCTTCGATGTTCTCATGAGCCCATCAGACGACAGCAAAGACCGGAAATCAATATCTATAGATCGAGGATGTGGCACCTTGTTAAGATCCATGATTTGTGAATATAGGACGAACAAATAACATTTGATTGATTGAATCTGTTAATGGAAGAATGATTTCAGAAGTTGAGAATGAAAATAGTTGTCAGTTGCAGCACAATGAATAATAACATATAATCTGGATAACTGACAGGAAATGGAAAGATGGAAGTCTTCTTTTTATTTGCATTTTAATGTTTTTATTTCTTTATTTATTGAAAAATGACGAGCTGTTGAATAACCCTTGTGAATGAATTGTGTTATAATGTATAAATATACTTGTCCTGCACATTAGCTCATTCTGAAAATAGCTGCAGTAAAACCAAACTGGTGACACTAAATTTATCCTTCACCAAATTCTAACAAGACTAAAGTCTGTGCGTCACTGTGACCTGAGCCCGAGCACGCAGCCGGCCGAACAAACCGAGTCTCAGAGAAAAACTCAATAACTCTGTAGTTTTAGAATACTGTGAAGTACTGTAATGTATTTAAGATTTTACTTGAGTTAAAGTAGAAAGGTATTAATAATATATACTCAAAGTTGCAAAGGTACAGTTTTAACAATTGTATATATTGCTGAGTATCGTA